CAATCAGATCACTGTTAAATACAGTTATCCTCTTCCTCTGATTGCGAGTATGACGGAATCATTACGCGGAGCGCGTTTCTTCACAAAACTGGATCTCAGGAGCACTTACAACTTGGTGCGTATTAGGGAGGGAGATGAATGGAAGACAGCATTTAGTACCACCTCGGGTCATTATGAGTATCTCGTCATGCCATACGGGTTAATGAATGCTCCTTCAGTCTTCCTATCCTTTGTGGACGAGATCTTCCGGGACTTGTATGGGCAGGGTGTGGTTGTGTACATTGACGACATTCTAGTGTACTCTTCTACACGAGCCGAGCATGTAGCCCTGGTACACCGAGTGTTGGGTAGGCTGTTGGAGCATGACTTGTATGTCAAGGCAGAGAAATTTCTGTTTTTCCAGGAGTCCATCTCCTTCTTGGGTCATCGGTTGTCCGCGTCAGGGGTGGAGATGGAGATTGACCGTGTGTCAGCCGTGCGTAATTGGCAGACTCCAACCACTGTTAAAGAGGTGCAACGGTTTTTGGGTTTTGCCAATTACTACCAGAGGTTTATCCGGGGTTTTGGACAGGTGGCAGCTCCCATCACTTCCCTGCTGAAGGGGGGCCCGGTGCGTTTGCAGTGGTCGGCTGAGGCGGACAGGGCGTTTGATAAACTGAAGAACCTGTTCACCTCGGCTCCGGTGCTGGCGCATCCGGACCCCGCTTTAGCGTTCCAAGTGGAGGTGGACGCGTCAGAGGCCGGAATTGGGGCAGTATTGTCTCAACGCTCAGGCACGCCTCTTAAACTGCGCTTTTTATTCTAAAAAGCTCAGCCCGGCGGAACGAAATTATGACATAGGGGACAGGGAGCTGCTAGCCGTAGTTCAGGCCCTAAAGGTGTGGAGGCATTGGCAACACCCTTTTCTCATTCTGACTGACCATCGTAACCTGGAGTACATCCGGGCAGCTAGGAGACTGAACCCTCGTCAGGCTAGGTGGAACATGTTTCTGACCCGGTTTGTTTTTAAGCTTACTTACATCCCAGGGTCCCAGAACGGTAAGGCAGACGCCCTGTCCCGGCGGTATGACACAGAGGAGAGGTCCATTGAGCCCACTCCCATACTGCCGGAGTCTTGTCTGGTGGCACCGGTGGTGTGGGAGATCGATGCGGAAATCAAGCGGGCGTTACGCACCGACCCTACTCCTCCGGAGTGTCCAGTGGGGCGGACGTACATGCCATTCGAGATCCGCGATCGTCTCATATATTGGGCTCACACGTCACCCTCCTCTGGACATCCAGGTATTGGCCGGACAGTGCACTGCCTTAGTGTTAAGTACTGGTGGCCAACATTGGCTAGGGACGTGAGGGTTTATGTCTCCTCCTGCTCAGTGTGCGCCCAGTGTAAGGCGCCTAGACACCTGCCCAGGGGGAAGTTACAGCCCCTGCCCGTTCCACAACGGCCGTGGTCTCACCTCTCGGTAGACTTTGTCACTGACCTACCCCCCTCCCAGGGGAATACCACTATTCTGGTCGTTGTGGATCGGTTCTCTAAGGCCTGTCGTCTCATCCCAATGCCGGGTCTCCCTACTGCCCTACAGACCGCTGAGGCTTTGTTTACCCACGTCTTCCGGCACTACGGGGTTCCCGAGGATATAGTGTCCGATCGAGGTCCCCAATTCACCTCTAGAGTCTGGAGGGCGTTCATGGAACGTTTGGGGGTCTCGGTTAGCCTTACCTCAGGTTTTCACCCTGAGAGTAATGGGCAGGTGGAGAGAGTGAACCAGGATGTGGGTAGGTTTCTGAGATCGTATTGCCAGGACCGGCAGGAGGAGTGGTCGGGTTATATCCCTTGGGCAGAGATTGCCCAGAACTCTCTTTGCCACTCCTCTACTAACCTGACCCCTTTCCAGTGTGTGTTAGGGTATCAGCCGGTTCTGGCACCATGGCATCAGAGCCAGATCGAGGCTCCTGTGGTGGATGAGTGGTTTCGGCGCTCGGAGGAGACGTGGAACGCTGCACACGTCCATCTGCAGCGGGCTATCCGTAGACAGAAGGCGAGCGCCGATCTCCACCGCAGTGAGGGTCCAGTGTACGCACCTGGAGATCGAGTCTGGCTCTCGACTCGAAACCTGCCCCTTCGCCTGCCCTGCCGGAAGCTGGGTCGGCGGTTTGTGGGGCTATTTAAAGTCCTGAGGAGATTGATCGAGGTATGCTACAAGTTACAACTGCCTAATGATTATCACATTAACCCCTCGTTCCATGTGTCTCTCCTCAGGCCGGTTGTAGCTGGTTCACTCCAGGACAGTGAGATAAGAGAGACTCCTCCGCCCCCACTGGACATCGAGGGGGCTCCGGCGTACTCAGTCCGGTCCATCATGGATTCGAGACGTCGGATGGGGGGTCTACAATATCTCGTGGAGTGGGAGGGGTACGGTCCGGAGGAACGGTGCTGGGTGCCTAGGAGGGACATCTTAGATCCCTCCCTCCTGACGGAGTTCCACCGTAACCATCCCATGCGCCCTGCTCCGCGTCCTCCTGGCCGTCCCCGAGGCCGGGGTCGGCGCACGGCTGGAGCCGCGCGTCAATGGGGGGGTACTGTCACGAATACCGCCGAGGCTGCTCCTCCTCCTTGTTCGGGCAGGCTTCGGCGTTCATCGTCCCCGGAGTACTAGCTGCCACCGTTTGATGTTTTCGATGTTTGTTTGGTCATGTCTAGTTTAGTGCACCTGTTTCGTATTCTGTCCTGATTATGTCACCTATACGTTTCCCTGTGTTATGTTTTGTAGTTGTGTGTTATTGTCCGCCTGTCGTTTTGTTGTGAGGTTCGGTACTTTGTTTATGAGTGTTTTACGCATTTCGCGTATCTGTTCGCCTCCGTTGGTTCGAGGCCATTTATTTTGTATATTGTTCAAATACTTCAGTAAAGTCGTTTTGACTTATCCGCTGTGTCCTGCGCCTGACTTCACCACCACATCCACATCAGTACCGTGACACACATCTCTCTGTCCATTCTTAGCCTGTCATTTTGGTAATTTGTGTGGTATTAAAAAAAGACACCGCTAATATGTACAATTATGTAGAATTGCATGACATTTTTATTAACGGCAGACCTGCAAATACAATGATAGATTCATGCAATGCTTTTACTATAAAGGAGATCTTTACACCCCCACGTTGGTCTGCGAATCCTCAAAATTGACGCATTGCTATGTAATGCTTAAAAGACAAAGAACTGTTTCTAAAACTGCATATCTTAGGATCTGGCCTGTCTAAGAAGTGGGGGTAAACATGTTCTCTACTATCCACTTTGTTTTAATTATTATTTTGGGTGTAGGGGAGGGTCACTTGTTTTGTTTTTTCCAGAGGTCCGATTTTCTCCACGTAACCCTTATTATAAATAACGTTCACTCCCTTATAATGTGATTGTTAAGCAATATTTACTCCTTAACTTATTTAGACTTGCCATAACAAAGGGGTGGAATACTTGACTCAAGAAAAACATAATTCTACTTTGACATTATGGGGTATTGTGTGTTCAGGCTGTAACACAACAAAATGTGAGAAAAAGTCAAGCTCACTATGTGCTGTAATGGAAAAACCCTATTAATAAGGAATAGGAAGCCACTTCAGGCCTATACATTTTTTTCACTCTAACTCTCCTCCTCTCACTTGCACTCATCAACAATACTGTAGTAGTCACAGGGCTACATTAAAAGGTGAAAATGAAAACCATCTCGTAGCCTTCGAGAACCCACGTTTTTATTATTTAGTTTTATTATCTGACCAATTAGAGGGGCTGATGTTTAAAGCTCATCTGCTGTTTCCTGTTGTAATGAAGGTGTCTGTTAGCCAAAGCTAATACATAGACCACCAGAGAACAATGAGAGTTGTTTAACAACACCCACCTTTGTTCTTCAAAGCCTAAACACCATACTGTAAATATATGTTCTATAATAAAGACATGCTAAATATATTATATTTAGAATGTCAACATCAGCTTAATTTTTACGATATCGATCTATGTAAAACTCATTAGCTCTTCCCGATAAGAAGCTTTGATATGTCGCCCTCATTAAAACCTATTAATGGAACATACAATCAAGGATCAATTCTTTATCTCGTTAATTATATTTTCTTGGCAGGGGCCGAGAGAATGCTGTCAGAATCTCAGGGGCGTTAAAATAGTATGTGATTAAAATGAACATACTAGATTTGTTTTGTATTAGGCATCACTACAATGGGAAGAAAACAAATGTCCCCTGTTTAATACAGTACACTGTATGGACATATTTAGGTAATCTACATTCACAACACCTTTATGAAACCAGTCATAACACATTCATGAGTATTGTAATATGATTCATAACAACCTTCATTAAAAAATATATCTACAAAATAAAAGTCAATTTTCATTTCAGAACTAAAAGTTATCAGTAACACAGAAATATATGTTTATTTATCTATTGTATAACATACATTTGTATTTTTTCAGCCACAGTACCCAACCCCCTCTGTGTTACCCTCTGTGTTACACATTTTTGGCAGAGAACATGTTGTAAGCCCAACATGACATTTACGATTGATGCTCTAGGACAGAACTCGCTTTAGGCCAGGTAGGCCTGCTCTGTTTCCTTCAGATCCGCCATCTACTGGATATTGTGACTGAAAAGATCTGTAATTCAGTAAGATAATATCGATGACGACTCAATGTACAACCTAAGCTGATATTCGCAAAATGTTTATCATACATTTATTATAAATGTGTAATGTAGTCCTTAAAGGCCCTCTCTCTCAATAGTTAAGAATGCCTGCTGTGTGTCAGTTGTACGTTTCCCACTAGCAACAACAGCTCACTTACATGATGCTATTCTATGTGTCTATAATTAAGCTAACCACTATATTCCCTCGTAATGGGTGCTACTAAATGGGCCTTCAACCCTACTCCCTCTGTGTTTACAGGAACTGACTCAAGTTATAATTAGTGAGTGGTAATTCTGCGAAAAGGAGGGTTTCTTACCTTTTACAATCAATATGGCCACTGCTGACAGGCTCTCCACATCCGTGTCCACCACGCAGATGTACTTTCCGGCATGATTCAACTGGATGTTTCTGATCATCAGATCCCCAGCTGTCCTCTACAAAGGCAATCATAAGAAATCCCAAACAACTTGGGTAAGTAAAAGGGCATTTGTAATGTAACCCCCTCCTGCTTCTATGGGTCTTCTGGCAGTTTTCTCCACTGTAAATAAAAAAAATGTGGGCCCTGTAGACTTTCATTTCTGAAGACGACTGCCAGCAGTGAATTCTAAATTAATGGTGGAATGTCTTCCTTTGGCTGTGGTGGAGGGAAAGTGGCGAGGCTGATCTGGTTTAATTATGGAAATTAATTCCTTGAAGCGGGTAAGTTAAGTTGATAATCTCTTTGGATTTGGGGACATTATAGAATTTGTGAGGAGTGAATCTCATTAGCGATAAGAAAATTGTCAGTCACACACACATATGCCCGATGTATAATCTCTCAGAGTGTGTGGGTGTTCCATATCTTCCAGTAGTTTTGGGTTTTTTGCAGTCCAGGCACTGCATGACGTGATTGTATCCCACTGATATCCAATACAATTGAAGATCTGTTCCAAGACCTTGATCAGTGATAATTTTGCAGCTGAACATCAAAATATAAAACCTCAGAGGATACAACAGAGGCAAAAGATTAATGTTAAGTTGAAAAAACTCTGACACTGTAAAATGTCCTTGAAACCAAAGATGCAGTAGAAAGTTTAATATGTTTTGATCAGGCTAACCTAATAATGAATGTTGGGCTACCATTGACAAAACTACAATTGGAACAATTGATTGGAGACTGATCAAAGACTACTCTTGCAATATTTGCGTGGGAGCCAGTGAGTGAAAGTGCCAGAGAAGCTTGAAAATCGAGACTCAACAAGTGTTTTAATTACTTCCTGTAACTTCCGTGAGCATGAGGAAGATTCAGACAGAAGCCAATGGGAACGTGGCACTTTCTTATTTACAGAAAGTAAATCGCATATCTCTCAACTTTCAAGCTTCTGTGGCACTAGCACACATTGGCTTGCACGGATATTGCGCAATAATGGGTAGGTGCTATTGACCACAGTAACCAACCCAGAGCTACAACTAGCCAAAGGCCCTGCTCAAAAAATACTTTAAGAATGCCTGCTTCCTTCCTTGAAGGATCTGATCGGATCCCTCATCTGACATGGCTGCATTTTTATTTAAATCTTAACCAGACAAGTCAATTGAGAACAAATTATTTTTTACAATGACGGCCTGGCTGGATTGGTTAAAGGTATGTGATAGAGCCATTGCTTACAGAAATCATTGTGTTAGGAAGAGTCTGCGTGTTTAAAGTATTTGAACAGGGCCAAAGTCTCCCCTAAAAACAAATAGGGGAAACCAGGGGACACCTCACTTACACAGCACTTGCAAACTCTGGAGTTGAAGAAATGGGACCTAAGGGTAGGTAACAACACATCTGCCACACTGATCCTCAACACGGGGGCCCCTCAGGGGTGCGTGCTCAGTCCCCTCCTGTACTCCCTGTTCACCCATGACTGCATGGCCAGGCACGACTCCAACACCATCCTTAAGTTTGCCGACGACACAACAGTGGTAGGCCTGATCACCGACAACGATGAGACAGCCTATAGGGAGGAGGTCAGAGACCTGGCCGTGTGGTGCCAGGATAACAACCTCTCCCTCAACGTGACCACGACAAAGGAGATGATTGTGGACTACAGGAAAAAAAAGAGGACTGAGCACGGCCCCATTCTCATCGACGGGGCTGTAAAGGAACAGGTAAAAAGCTTCAAGTTCCTTGGTGTCCAAATACACCAAGACAGTCGTGAAGAGGGCACGACAAAGCCTTTTCAAGGAGACTGAAAAGATTTGGCATGGGTCCTCAGATCCTCAAAAAATTCTACAGCTGCACCATCGAGAGCATCCTGACTGGTTGCGTCACCGCCTGGTATGGCAACTGCTCGGCCTCCGACCGCAAGGCACTACAGAGGTTAGTGCGTACGGCCCAGTACATCACTGGGGCCAAGCTTCCTGCCATCCAGGACCTCTATACCAGGCGGTGTCAGAGGAAGGCCCTCAAAATTGTCAAAGACTCCAGCCACCCTAGTCATAGACTGTTCTCTCTGCTACCGCACGGCAAGCGGTACCGGAGTGCCAAGTCTAGGTCCAAAAGACTTCTCAACAGCTTCTACCCCCAAGCCATAAGACTCCTGAACAGCTAATCATGGCTACCCAACTATTTGCACTGCCCCCCCACCCCCACCCCATCTTTTTACGCTGCTGCTACTCTGTTAATTATTTATGCTACATGTGGGTAGAGTCACTTTAACTCTACCCACATGTACATATTACCTCAACTACCTCAACTAGCCGGTGCCCCCGCACATTGACTCTGCACCGGTACCTCCCTGTATATATAGCCTCCCTACTGTTATTTTATTTTACTTCTGCTCTTTTTTTCTCAACACTTTTTTATTGTTGTTTTATTTTACTTTTTAATAAAAAAATAATGCATTGTTGGTTAAGGGCTGTATGTAAGCATTTCACTGTAATGTCTACACCTGTTGTATTCGGCGCATGTGGCCAATACAATTTGATTTGATTTGAAATTGGACTGAATGGAGAAAGATATGCCAGATGTTCAAAGAAATAGTGTAGAAGACAAAGTGTGTCGGTCACTCACCCCTCCCACTAGCTCAAAATGCCTGTCTGTCTTGGTGATGAGCTGTCCGTTGAAAGCCCAGGAGAAGAAGACGTCAAGGATGGGGTCACAGGCGATCTGGCAGGGCAGCACGATGCTCTCACCCACTATGATCTCCATGTCCACTGGCCCCTGAGTAATTCTGGTTGGATCTGCCCAAAATGTACAAACAATCCCACGCACAAAGCACCAGGGATGGGGTCAATTTCATTTCAGTCAATTCAGGAAGTAAACAGAAAATTCCAATGTATGATCAAATGCTATTCTGTCAAGCTTTCTGTGTTCAATAACAAGGTAATTATGGATAGTGGAACTGTTACACCTACTGTCATAAACAGACAGGTTATGATAATTCTTACAGTATTCAGGCCATCATTATGGAAGTATCACAACGGATTAGCCAAGTAAAGGGTTATTAAACAGGCTTGTCACTAATAAGAGCTGATACTGTTTGCTGACATGACTCAAATAATCTTTTGTAATCCTGAAAGCAATTACAATACCCAGATAAATCCTATAAAAAAGCAGAGGTGATTGATACTTCGAGGTGGTGGGACTGTTATCCACAAGATGGGTTAAACCACACACACACACAGCACATGCTGACCACACAATAAGGGCCCTGAGTTGCAACCACTACAGCCATTGTTTGTCGGAGGCCGCTGCGCTTCAAAAGTCAGGGCAATTAATTACAACCTTGCTAAATCTTGCTAAATGAAATCAATGAATTAGAAAATAAAGAATGAAGGGATAAGAAATATATCACTATTGCAGGGATTTTATTTGGAGCCTCGGCATGAACAATGATATCTAAAAGATGTCTCATGAGTCTCTATATATCTATTCTCTGAATTAAATCCTCAAAAAATGCAACTACCACAGTACGGTTTAAAAATAAATGCAGTGTTTGGCAGCCAAATTATTGGACAGTTACCACTCGGGTCACCTGTTAAACTCTGAGGGGTTCTTTTGGGCCCTGTACAGGGCCCAAAACATATCATTTGAAAGCTACAGCCCTTGTCTTTTTGGATATTGAACTAAAATCTTACTGCTGGCAATGTCATAATCTCCACCCCCCACAAAGCCTCCATAAAGGCCATAAATCATGAGCTATGGTCATATTCATAGAGTACGCTATGCAGGTCAAGTCACCAAAATTGCAAACATTTAGTAAAGCAATGCATTTCCTTTTCTATCCACATTTCCTTTGTATGCATCCTCCACATGCGCCATTGATTGATCTCACTAATTTACAATAGGAAAAGTGAATGGGAAAATAATATTCACCTGTCTGTGTCTTATTTTAAAACACTAACCCAATAACTTGAAAGGCCTGATTCCTATGGTAATTTTAAAATGTCAGGCTTGAAAATCATTTTGGCACTGTGACTCACTACCCAAACCAGACGCAACTGGTTTCAAGTAGCCAAGAGTCATGTGATCTCCTACTGCTCTCTAGTGGATGAACTGGGAATCAGACAGGGGATATATTTGCATCAATGCATAGGTAGAGACTAAAGCTTTCTCCTCATTATGTATATCATTCTTGTAAGACAAAAAAACATTCCTGTAAGACAAAAAATTACATTGCACAAGCCCTGCGCTTTTAAAATAGCTGTGTGCATGCTTAAACTGCATTTTTTTTTTTTTTACAAATCCTTTTGTAACATTACTTTATTTCAAACCTAAAAAAGTAGTCACAGTTCTTACCTTTCTAACAGTACTAAGCATGTGTTTGTAGGACTTATAGTTTAAAAAAACAAAATGTACTTTATGAGGGTAGTATACAATATTATGCATAGTTTAGAAAATGCCACCAGAGGACGTCAGAGTTTAAGAGGTTAATAGTTGTATGAGGAACCTGGAAAGCAACCAACTCTTCTAGAAATACACTTCAAAATGGGCAATAAAAACATCCTTTTACGACAACTTTGTTATTTCGGCTCAGGGGCATTTAATTTGTTTGAGTCAATTGGTTGGCTGCATCCAAGTATACAAAGGTCAAGTAGTTTCACAAACACCTTTCCAATGCATTATTATACCTACTGCAAAATGGCCATTAGGGTGTACTCTACAGTAGAGAACACAGCTCAGCGCGATGAAATTAGCTCTTACCTTTGGTAACCCTTGGTTAGACAGAGCGTAGGTTTAGTTAGGGCTAAGCTACTGTGTAATGCAACACCTTACCTGTGATGAGGAGTCTTCCAGTGGTGCTGGAGGCCCCAAATCGGTTTCTGGCAAAGCAGGTGTAGCTGCCTGCATCAGACTTGGTCACATTAGTGATTCTCAAAGTTCCATCTGGAGAGAGAGTGATTCTGTGGGGGTAAATGGAGAAGCTGGTGACACGGGTGGGATTTGAACCCCCGTCTCCCACGGGCGAAACCAACGTCTTAACTGTTAGTCTAATAGGAAATTCCATCTGGGGCCGAGGCTGACACTAGTATTAGTATTATTTATTAGGATCCCCAATTAGCTGCTGCCGAGGCAGCAGCTACTCTTCCGTGGGTCCAAACAGAAATCAAAACACAACAAATAAAATACATAATATACAAAACACAACATTTACATCACAATTTAGTCACTTAGCAGATGCTCCCATCCAGAGCGACCCACAGCTAGGGCATTCATCTCATGATAGCCAGGCGAGACAACCACGCATCACATATCACTACATAATACAATACAATGCAAAATACATACAAATGTCTGTGTCTACTCACAGTCCCCGTCGTGCCGTATGGTGTTCTTTTATCAGTTTTTTTAAATCTGATTTTATTGCTAGCTTGAGTTACCTGGGGTGGCAGAGAGTTCCATGTAGTTATGGCTCTATTTAATACTATGCGTTTCCCAGATTCTATTCTGGACCTGGAGACTTTGAAAAGACCTCTGGTTGCATATCTTGTGTGGTACCGATGAATGTCCAAACTGCTTAAGCAAACTGTTCGTGACTTTCAACACATCAACACCTCGCACAAAGACCAATAGTGATGCAGTCAATCTCTCCTCAACTTTGAACCAGAAGAGATTGACAAGCATGTTTCAGCCAGTCATCAGTCATTTGTGTCAGTGCCGAGCATGTTGAGTGCCCTTTCCTATAAGCATGCTGAAAGTCTGTTGTTATTTAGTTTTCTGTAAAATAACATTGTATTTGGTAGAACACCATTTTTTCCAAAAGTTTGCTAAGCACTGGTTGATTGGTTGGCTGTTTGAACCATTAAAGGGTGCTTTGCTATTCTTGGGCAGGATGCTTTAATATTCTCCCAGGCAGGGCTACCTCATCAGGAGACCGTAAGGCCGACTCACGTCCGCTACACTGGGTCATTTTCATTAAGGCATTGAACGGAAAACATTTAAAAAGGTTTTGTAATGGAAAACGAAAATGAGTTTGTCTGTTTTCTTGCCTAATGAGTATGACCCTGTTTACATTGAACTTGTCATGTGTTAAACCCTATCAACACCAGTGGGCACCAGTGCCTAAAATTATATCAAAGAAATCTACCCACTGGGCACACACTGGTTGAATCAATGTTGTTTCCATGTAATTTCAATGAAATTACATTGAACCAACGTGAAATAGACAATGAATTGACGTCTGTGCCCAGTGGGTAAATTCTAACCCATTGAATTGTGTCTGTTATTCTGAACATTCTATTTCAACATTTTTAGAGCACACCATCAATTATGAAACTAATAGCAAGTCATTGACATTTAGATATTTTCTTGATATGATTTGGTTATTTAAGTAGAGATTACTTTTTTAAGTATGCTCTTCCTGTCACGACTTCGGCCGAGGCTGCCTCCCCTCCTTGTTCGTGCAGGCTTCGGCATTCGTCGTCACCGGAGTACTAACCTCAAGTTTCTTCTTTGTGAAGAAGAAAGACGACGGTCTGCGCCCGTGCATTGATTATCGGTTACTGAACAAGGAGACGATTAGATTTAGTTACCCTCTCCCCCTCATTCCTCCAGTGAATGAGTCAATGCATGGGGCGCACTTCTTCACAAAGCTAGATCTCAGGAATGCATACAACCAGGTGTGTGTTCGAGAGGGGCATGAGTGGAAGACAGCATTCAGCACAACCACCGGGCATTATGAATACCTGGTGATGCCCTACGGTTTGATGAATGCTCCATCTGTCTTCCAGTCCTTTGTGAACGAGGTGTTTCGGGACATGCTTGGGCTCCTTCCTCGGATACCGCATTACCACCTCAGGTGTGGAGATGGAGGGAGATCGCATTTCATTGGCTCAAAGGGGCGAAACACCCTTTCCTCGTTTGGACGGACCACCATAACCTGGAGTACATCCGGGCAGCGAGGAGGCTGAATCCTCGCCAGGCCAGGTGGGCCCTATTCTTCACCCGGTTTGATTTTACATTGTCATACATTCCGGTTACGAAGAACGTGAAGGCAGACGCACTGTCTCGGCTGTATGACACAGAGGAGAGGCCCAGAGACAACACCCCCATACTCCCGGCCTCCTGCATTGTGGTGCCGGTAGTATGGGCGATGGACGCGGATATAGAGCAGGCATTACGCACAGATCCATCTCCACATCAGTGTCCAGCTGGGCTGCGGTACGTGCCTGCTCTTATCCGTGATCGTCTGCTCTTCTGGGCACACATGTCACCCTCCTCTGGTCACCCAGGTATCGGCCGTACAGTACGCTGCTTGAGCGGAAAGTACTGGTGGCCTACCTTGGCTAAGGATGTGAGTCTCCTCCTGCTCGGTGTGCGCCCAGAGTAAGGCACCTAGGTACCTCCCACAGGGTAAGCTACAACCATTACCAGTTCCACAACAACCATGGTCTCACCTTAGTATTGATTTTCGAACTGATCTTCCCCTCTCCCAAGGTAACACCACCATCCTGGTCGTTGTGGACCGCTTCTCCAAGTCCTGCCGCCTCCTTCCTCTGCCCAGTCTCCCCACGGCCCTGCAGACTGCGGAGGCCCTGTTTACTCACGTCTTCCGGCACTACGGGGTGTGGATATAGTGTCCGACCGAGGTCCCCAGGTCACGTCCAAGGTTTGGAAGGCGTTCATGGAACGTCTGGGGGTCTCGGTCAGCCTGACCTCTGGGTTCCACCCCGAGGCAAATGGGCAGGTGGAACGAGTAAATCAGGATGTGGGTAGGTTCCTGCGGTCCTACTGCCAGGACTGGCCGGGGGAGTGGTCGGTGTTCTTGCCATGGGCATAATATGTCCAGAACTCTCTCCGCCACTCCTCTACTAACCTAACACCATTCCAATATGTTTTAGGTTACCAACCGGTTCTGGCACGTGGCACCAGAGCCAGACCGAGGCTCCTGCGGTGGATGACTGGTTTCGGTGCGCGGAGGAGATGTGGGACGCTGCCCACGTTCACCTCCAGTGCGCCGTGCGTCGTCAGAAGGCCAACGCTGACCGTCAACGCAGTGAGGCCCCGGTCTTCGTACCGGGGTATCGGGTCTGGCTCTCGACCCGGAATCTGCCCCTCCGCCTGCCCTGCCGGAAGCTGAGCCCGCGGTTTGTGTGGCCGTTTTTAGTCCTGAGGAGAATCAACGAGGTTACGTATAGGTTGTTACTCCCCCCCCCGATTACCGTTTCATGTGTCTCTCCTCAGGCCGGTGGTGGTTGGGCCGCTCCAGGAGTCTGAGGTGCGGGAGGTTCCTCCACCTCCTCTGGACATCGAGGGGGCCCTGGCGTACTCTGTCCGTGCCATCCTGGATTTGAGGCATCGGGTGGAGGGCCTTCAGTACCTCGTGGAGTGGGAGGGGTACGGTCCGGAGGAACGGTGCTGGGTCCCGGTGAGGGATATCCTCAATCCCTCCCTGTTGTGGGATTTCCACCGTCGCCTTCCGGCTCGCCCTGCTCCGTGTTCCCGAGGCCGGGGTCGGCGGGGGGGGGGGTACTGTCATGACTTCGGCCAAGGCTGCCTCCCCTCCTTGTCCGGGCACGCTTCGGCGTTCGTCGCCACCGGAGTACTAACCACTGCCGCCCCAATCATCATCACAATTGTCTTGTCTTGTCAATCACACACACCTGGTTCTAATCCCCTAATTAGTCCTGTGTATAAGTGTTCCCTCTGCCCCCTTGTCCTTGTGGGTGATTGTTTATTGTGGAGGTTAGTGAAGCTCGGTGGAGCTCGTGTATTTTATATCGACGGGAGTATTTTCCTGTGTGCTTTGTATTTTCCAGTGCACCTGTTTTGTGCCCTGGAGTGTGTTTGACGCATTTCTGCATAAACCTGTATTTTGCGGATTAAAGCCTGTTATTCCGTGATTTACCCTCCTGTGCCTGACTCCTTCAACACCACCTCATCACACTTCCTTCTTGAAAAAAACATCTACAAGGTCTTTATCTTTTTGGAGCTTGTATGTACTACCAAAGAAAACCGACCAATTGAGAAATACATCCTTTCTTGCAGAAATCAGTATCTTCTTGTACCTGTCTAAATAAGGCTAAAATAAATTAGGAACAGATCATCGTCTAAAGCACTAATATGGGTGGAGAAGAAAGAAGGAATCAAACCATATATAGAATGTACTGTAAGACGTTACCTGTCATTGGTGTGGATAGGTTGGTTGCCTTTCTTCCACAGGATGCTAGCGGTGGGGTATGCTTGGGGCTTACACTCTAGAGTCACTATGGTGCCGGCCTTGGCTTTAAGCAGGGCTCTGAGCAGGTTACCAGTGAAGTCTGGAGGAGAGGCTGAAGGGACACAGGAAATGTAAAAAACATTTTTATTGACCCCATTATTATTGAATCCCTCTAACCTTTCAAAGAACAGTAATATGACCTTGCCAATTTGTTGGATAGTCACACGTTTTAGAAATGGATAAAAGCCACCATACCTAAGACCATGAGCTCAGTGCTGAAATAGATGACGCCATATTTATTCTCAGCCACACACTGGTACATCCCGGCATCAGACAGGTTCAAAGACGAGATCAACAGGACCCCATTGTCAACATGGACCCTCTCCTGCAAAGGCACAGACACAAGTAGCATGTGGAGTACAAGTAAATGTTAAGGTCATTTGAACATTATAGAATAAAACACACTTATTACAGTAAAAATAACCATTAGGAGGGTTTTGGTAAGGAGTAAAATTATACAAAATATCCCGCTAATGTAAAGAATAAAAAAGTGGTACAAAAGTGCATGTGGAAGAAACATCTAGATGCACTTCTCTGGGGTTCAAGTTTGGTCTGCTACCGTGTACTTTTCACAGTAGATTAACTAAATCTGCAGAAGCTTGAACATGGGCTATGAATAATGGAGAGTGTTTGCCTGTTCTCTTGAAATGGAGCAGCTTGTAGAGAGTCTGATATGCTATCTCTTTTCTTACACACACGCTATATCTCTCTCGATGCACACCCATGTCACAGGTGCAAGGCAATGTTTCAATGTAAGGAAGGTGCCTGGACAATGCTTATACTCCTAAAAGTTGGATTTGATTGTGAAATGTTCAGTGTGCTAGCACCTTCCTTTCTGTAAGATGGACAAAGAACTCATGAGAGATGGATGGGAAGGTGGGGTTTACCTCAGTGATCAGCACTTGGCCATTTTTCAGCCAGTTGTAGGAAGGTTTGGGCTTCCCGTTGGCCCTGCACTCCCAGTGAAGCCTCTCCTCTATGGCTAGGGCCGTGTCTCTCATGGTCTGAATCCACTGAGGTTTGGCTATGAAAGATACAAAATACTCCATGTCAATGACTGACTGCATATTAGTAGAGGGTTTTAAAGGGGAAGTCCTCTTACAGTTTTTCCTCGATTGCTTGAACACTGTGAAGAAAACTGGGATCTACGTGATCAAAACTGGGATCCACATGGCCAAAACAATAACCTTTTCTTACAGTTAGTCATTTCTCATCGTTTTCACACTAAATGCAATTGCTAAACACTTTTTTTGCAAAACAGTAGACAAAATGTTTTATTTATTCAATTTATTTTACCCATATTTTACCAGGTAAGATGACTGAGAACACATTCTCTTTTACAGCAAAGACGTGGGGAAGATTTACAGGGAGAGGGGAGGGGATGAATGAGCCAACTGAAAGCTGGTGGTGATTAGGTGGCCATGATGGTATGAGGGCCAGATTGGGAATTTTTGCCAGGACACTGAGGTTAACACCCCTACTCTTACGATAAGTGCCACAGGATCTTTAGTGACCACAGAGAGTAAGGACATCCGTTTAACGTCCCATCCGAAAGCTGCACCCTACACAGGGCAATGTCCACTTCACTGCCATGGGGCAGTCTCTACTGTATCTGCTATCTTTAGTAAAACAAACATGAACTTGGCTTCACAGTGAGGAACAATGTCATTGTTTTTGTGCAATTCTCTGTTCAAACAGAGTCACCTTCTGTAAGCTACAACAGCAGCGCCATCATGCACTTGAATGCACTAGGGATGAGGGAATTCTTACAGAGATCTCACAAAGGTCTTCACCTGCAATGCTCCCAGACTGTAATGATCATAATTCAAAATCAGTTTAACAGCCCAACTCACCTCTGACCTATTCCCAGCACCAAACTGGGTTTCAAGGAGCTTTCACAGGAAGTCATTTAACACCATTGTTACTTGTTAACATGCCCAATTCACTCTGCAGCACCATCCTGTCAACTCCAATTACAAAAGTGTTATTTGCCTCAGCCACGAGACCGTGGACAAGAAAAGGAAGCAGAAGCTATCCAGGCAAGAAAAATGAAATTATTGAAGTTAAAATTATAACCAAATAAACTTCCAATATGAGACTATGCCTGTCCCAACTGGAATTGCTTTCTACCAGAATGATAACTGAAAATCAAAAATAGAGTTGCCTGCAATGCTTACACATAACAACAATGCACACTGAACAAAAATATAAACGCAACATGTAAAGTGTTCGACCCATGTTTCATGAGCTGAAATAAAATATCCCAGAAATGTTCCTTAGTGAGCATTTCTCGTTTGCTAAGATAATCCATCCACCTGACAGGTGTGGCATATCAAGAAGCTGATTAAACTGCATGATCATTACACAGGTGCACCTCATTACACAGGTGCTGGGGACAATAAAAGGCCATTCTAAAATGTGCAGTTCTGTCACACACCACAATGCCACAGACTGCATGAATGTCCACCAGAGTGCTTGCCAGAGAATTTAATGTTCATTTCTCTACCATAAGCCGCCTCCAACGTCGTTTTAGAGAATTTGTCAGTACATCCAACCGTCTCACAACCGCAGACCACTTGTAACCACACCAGCACAGGACCTCCACATCCGGCTTCTTCACCTGCGGGATCGTCTGAGACAAGCCACCCGAACAGCTGATGAAACTGTAGGTTTGTACAACCGAAGAGTTTCTGCACAAACTGTCAGAAACCGTCTCAGGAAGCTCATCTGCTTGCTCATCGTCCTCACCAGGGTCTTGACCTGACTGCTGTTCGGCGTCGTAACCGACTTCAGTGGGCAAATGCTCACCTTCGATTGCCACAGGCACGCTGGAGAAGTGTGCTCTTCAAGGATGAATCCCGGTTTCAACTGTACCGGGCAGATTGCAGACAGCGTGTATGGAGTTGTGTGGGCGAGCGGTTTGCTGACGTCAACGTTGTGAACAAAGTGCCCCATGGTGGTGGTGGGGTTATGGTATGGGCAGGCATAAGCTACGGACAAAGAACACAATTGCATTTTATCGATGGCAATTTCAATGCACAGAGATACCGTGACGAGATCCTGATGCCCATTGTCGTGCCATTCATCTGCCGCCATCACCCATGTCGCAAGGATCTGTACACAAATCCTGGAAGCTGTAAATGTCCCAGTTCTTCCATGGCCTGCATACTCACCAGACATATCACCCATTGAACATGTTTGGGATGCTCTGGATCGACGTGTACGACAGCGTGTTCCAGTTCGCGCCAATATCCAGCAACTTCGCACAGCCATTGAAGAGGAGTGGGACAATATTCCACAGGCCACAATCAACAGCCTGATCAACTCTATGTGAAGGAGATGTTGCGCTGCATGAGACAAATGGTGGTCACACCAGATACTGACTGGTTTTCTGATCCACGCCCCCACTACTTAAAAAAAAAAGGTATCTGTGACGAACAGATGCATATCTGTATTTCCCAGTCATTTGAAATCCATAGATTAGGGCCTTATTAATGGATTTCAATTGATGGATTTCCTTATATGAACTGTACCTCAATCAAATCTTTGAAATTGTCGCATGTTGCATTTATATTTTTGTTGAGTGTAAAATCAATAAACAAACAATATATTATTACATTATAATACCAACAGTGGCTGTACTTTGCCAATGAGTAGTAGCAACAGTAATATAATGAGAGCCTGTGCATTATCTTGAGTATAGCACAGCTTTCATAATGACCAATAGTTGGTGTTCATGGGTTGTAAAATGTAGTGTACATTTTCCAAATGGATAAATCCATCCCTCTTGAAAGTAGGATGGTATGCTTGTTGTATTTGATGTCCTAACAAATGATTGCTGACCATATATGGATTGTTTTTACTGTTTGTTGTGTTGTTGCCATGTGTTTTTGTCCTTTTGTATTGTGATGTCTGTCTTGTTTTGTAACTTTATTGTACATATCATTTTCATTATCTATCGCTGCATTTGCCCCTAACCACTTAACAGGTTGTCATTGTAAAAAGGAGTGTTTTTAACTGACTCGGCTGATGGTTAAAATTATATTTGCGATCCCACAGTGTGACAGTACCGTGGAAGGCCAGTCGGCCTGTAGCGATGTTCTTCCCCATCTTGTTTTCGGCCACACACTCATAGCCCCCCGTGTCATCCTGTTGGAAGCTGGGGATCTCCAAGACGGCATTGGAGTACTTCATCTTCACTTTGCTGGGGAACGGGACTCCATTAGCCCTCTTCCACGTAATCTCAGCGACAGGGCTAGGAAAGACAGAAAGCAAAACATGTCGACTCCACAAAACATGTCGACTCCACATCTTCTCTGTTAGACTATATCTAACAAGATTTTATGCAACTTATTTTCGTATTCTATACATTAAATAAAGAGAGAAAGTCATTTGAAGAAAGTATGCATGTGGCCCTTCACAAACCGACGTTGACAATCATTGTATTCAAAAGCTATTCTGACGAATAATAGAGAGATGCCACAGTCTAACAAACATAATTTTCCTAGTGACACTGCTCTATAAAAATCCCAAAATGCTTTGAGTGAGTGAAAGAAGAGGGAAGATTGAAAACATGCTCCAAGAAATACAGCTTACTTCCCAAGAGCAAAACACTCCAGTGTAACCACTGATCCTTTTGCTGCTGGTACGGTGTCAGGGAAATGAACTTCTATTTTCGGCTCGTATTCTCCCATTACTCCTATGAAGTACAAGTACAAGTAGTTGTTGTTCATGCTTCCATTATTGGTGTGGGTGTACAAAATCAACATGCGCGATGGCGCACGCAGGTGCCCGGTCTAGTCAGCGTGTTAGAAAGAGTGTTTATGCATGTATTATTTCTGTTAGTTTTACTATGCTTTTGTTTGGCCTCACAACGCAAGGTATACAGTGAGGGAAAAAAGTATTTGATCCCCTGCTGATTTTGTACGTTTGCCCACTGACAAAGCTATAGACTGATCATTTCTTTGTCAGTAGGCAAACGTACAAAATCAGTTGATTTTGTACACCCACACCAGACGCGATCAGGACACGCAGGTTGAAATATCACAACGAACTCTGAACCAACTGTATTAATTTGGGGACAGGTCGAAAAGCATTAAACATTTATGGCAATTTAGCTAGCTAGCTTGCTGTTGCTAGCTAATTTGTCCTGGAATATAAACATTGGGTTGTTATTTTACCTGAAATGCACAAGGTCCTCTACTCCGACAATTAATCCACAGATAAAAGGGTAAACCGAGTTTGTTTCTAGTAATCTCTCCTCCTTCAGGCATCTTCTTCTTCTTTGGACTTTATATGGCGGTTGACAACCAACTTTAATGTGCATGTGCATTATCATCACCAACTGTACCGGAGTGTGGACCTCAGTTTATCTTTCAATCACCCACGTGGGTATATGCTCCTAAAAACCAATGAGGAGATGGGAGAGGTGGGACTTGCAGTGCATCAAGCGTCACAAATAGAAACAAGTTCTATTTTAGGGCCTGTCTACGCAGACGCTCTTTGACGCGCTTGAGCGGTGTGGGTGCAATAATTGAATAACATGTATGTGTACATTTATTTAGCAATGTGTGGTCAGCCAGACCGCCAGCGTTGCAAAATACATTTACACATACATGTTATTCAATCATTGCACCAACACTGCTCTCGCGAGTCAACGAGCGTCTGTGTAGCCAGAAGTTAGTTCTATTTGTTACGCTCCACGCGCTGCATGTCCTGCCTCTCCCATCTCCTCATTGGTTTTAAGGAGCATATACCCACGTGGGTGATCGAAAGATGAAAGGAGGTCCACACTCCAGTCCACTCGGTTTACCCTTTTATCTGTGGATTAATTGTCGGAGTAGAGGACCTTGTGCATTTCAGGTAAAATAACAACCCAATGTTTATATCCCAGGACAAATTAGCTAGCAACAGTAAGCTAGCTAGCTAAATTGCCATAAATGTTTAATCCTTTTCGACCTGTCCCCAAATTAATATAGTTGGTTCAGAGTTAATTTTGATATTTCAACCTGCGTGTCCTGATCGCGTCTGGTGTGGGTGGAAAAAATCAACATGCACGTGCGCCCGGTCTAGTCAGCATGTAGGTGAACTGAACGGCTACTCCACTTAAAGGTACACTATGCAGAAATCACTCCGCCATTTCCTGGTTGCAAAAATTCTAATAGTTCACCTAATTTCAGTTTATGTGACAAAACAAGCAATTTAACGTAGATAATCATTGTACCATCTAAACTGCTGTGAAATATATTTTCCATAACCAAAAATATTGTATTTTCTGCTATTTGAAACTGGTGTACAAAAACTAAAGTAAAAGAGGCAAAAACTACACTTAAGAATGGGAAGCATAGAAATAGCTCACATAAGACAAATCTACCGCTTCTTAGACTTCTTTTAATGAGAATAACAGATCTATAACTCTTATTTCTATGTGAATTTGGTCGGATCGCCCTAAAAAGTTACATATTGCAGCTTTAAGCATGCATGTCGAGGGAGTGTAGTGAAATAACAGCAACAAATAATTTAAATCCTCAGTTCCTGGGTGGAATACACTAAGGTTATCTCTTGAGGGTCTGGCTGTTTTTGAACGTATGGTTAATGTTTAAATGTTTAATTCAACCCAAAGGCAGTGTTTACTTTCTGCAAAAGTGTGAAGAGCTAAATACATACTGTAGCTATAAGGAACAGTTCATTGGATTCCTCCAAGTACAGGCAGTTGTTAAAAAAGCCAAGTAAGAAAATAAGGCACCTGGATCATCGGTGATAAAGCCTACATAGTGCTATAATGAACATGGCCTGGCAACTAAACAATGCATACCAGGTAATAACAATGTTAGCTTATACGAAGGGTGTATACTGTACATAACACCTTCATGAATGTTGCTGTATCATTCATACCACATTCATAACACATTTATTCAACATCACGTATAAGGTGTCTTCAAAATAAAAGTCATTTTTTTATTATACTACAAAAAGTTATCTGGCTCAATGAAAGCCTACCTACGCCTGCTACCTGTATGTTATGAATCATTATGCAAGGTCTTCTGATGAATAAGCTCACCGTCTTTCCTCAGGACCAGAGATGTTGGTGAGCTGTGAACTTTGCCCTTTGTGATGCTGTTCATCACCACACAGGTATAGTTGCCCACATCTGAGGGCTCCACTTTGGCGATGTACAGGTTGCCAGTCTCCTGAGATACGAAGCGCCGGTTGTCTTGCTGGACGAAGTATGGGTATTCATTGAAGACCCATGCATAACTAAGGTCTAGAAAGGGAAATGAGGGGGAGATTTAGCCAACTACTGATATGACGTAACATTCAAAACTTGAAACCAAGAACACAAATGCTGTATTTATACAGGCAGCCCAGTTCTGATCTTTTGCCCAATTATTGGCAAAAGATCTGATGTGATTTGTCAAAACACCAATACCCTATGAAAGTTACACTCATTGTTACTTCCGGGATCCTCGTTTTGTAGGCTAAGAATGGGCTTCAAATTTGCATCCTCAAATCCATGAAAACGTGGTCTGTCACACCCTGATCTGTTTCACCTGTCTTTGTGCTTGTCTCCACCCCCTTACAGGTGTTGCCCATCTTCCCCATTATCCCCTGTGCATTTATACCTGTGTTCTCTGTTTGTCTGTTGCCAGTTCGTCTTGTTTCGTCAAGCCTACCAGCGTGTTTTTCGTACTCCTGTTTTTTTTAGCCCTGTTTTCTAGTTTTCCAGTTTTTTATCTTTCTGCCTGCCCTGACCCTGAGCCTGCCTGCCGTTCTGTACCGTTTTGACACTGACCTGGACTACCGACCTCTGCCTGCCCTTGACCTGTCCTTTGCCTGCCCCCTGTTTATATAATAAACGTCCGTTATTCGAACTGTCTGCATCTGGGTCTTTTCCTGAGCCGTGATAGTGGAATAATTAATTTATATATTAAAATGTATATGTGTTTTCGAATGAATTTACTTACCATGTGCCAATTTTCAATGTATTTGACGCCCAAGAAGAAGCACGAAGCCGAAAAGTTACAACTCTTTCATTTGAACTACAGACATAAACTACAACTCCCTAAAGGTATTTCGACAGCTTGCCAGTATTCAAAAACATATTTATTTTACATTTTCAAAAAGTACTGGGTGGCAACATTCAGCAAAAAAAAAGAAGCATAATCTATTATGAAACACATCAAATGGCCTGTAACTAAAGGGTTCTTACCATCCTGTAGGTCCTCAGCTCGAGCAGGCGCCCTCCAGCATGCTAACAACGCTGCAGGAGACTTTTCTACTTCTTGAGCATCAAATATTTTGATAAAAGGCATCGGGTGTGAGTAAATCAATAAACTAATACAATTATAATTTTATATATCTTAAATGACCGTATTTTCATTAATTTTATGATATAATCTTGAAGCCCATTCAAAAGACCCGGGACATGACGTAGGATGACTTCACTTTCACAGGGTATTAGTGTAAAAAAGATCTGAATTGGACCGCTTATGTAAACACAGCCATAAAGATAATGTATCTTTGGGATGGATTTGATTTGGATTTGATTTGTGTATCAAGGGTGACATAACCACTCCCTCTGTAGGGTGACTGGCCAAATGTGACATAATGCAACATGTCAATTTCCCAAAATGCTATGCTTTATAAAGGGTGGTTCGTATCCAGGCTCTGCTGTAGCCGGCCGCAACCGGGAGACCAATGGGGCGGCGCACAATTGGCCCAGCGTCGTCCAGGGTAGGGGAGGGAATGGCCGGCAGGGAGGTAGCTCAGTTGGTAGAGCATGGCGTTTGCAACGCCAGGGTTGTGGGTTCGATTCCCACGGGAGGCCAGTATGAAAAAAAGAAAAGAAAAAAAAAGAATAATGTATGCACTAACTGTAAGTCGCTCTGGATAAGAGCGTCTGCTAAATGACGTAAATGTAAATGTATAACCCCTTACACCTGGCGTCACGTGTTTTGAGGAAAGCTCCCAAAGGGATGGAGAGAGGACAAAAGGGATCATGAGACATTTACATTTACATTTTAGTCATTTAGCAGACGCTCTTATCCAGAGCGACTTACAGTTAGTGAGTGCATACATTTTCATACTGGCCCCCCGTGGGAAACGAACCCACAACACAGGCGTTGCAAGCGCCATGCTCTACCAACTGAGCTACACGAGGCCAGTATGAGACAACCCCTACCATCAAATTACTTCTTCCTCAGTGCCAACATGCACGCAGTCAACATCCATATACGTACACACTGCTCTCAGATGTTATATACAGTGAGGGAAAAAAGTATTTGATCCCCTGCTGATTTTGTACATTTGCCCACTGACAAAGAAATGATCAGTCTATAATTTTAATGGTAGGTTTATTTGAACAGTGAGAGACAGAATAACAACAAAAAAATCCAGAAAAACGCATGTCAAAAATTTTATAAATTGATTTGCATTTTAATGAGGGAACTAAGTATTTGACCCCCTCTCAATCAGAAAGATTTCTGGCTCCCAGGTGTCTTTTATGCAGGTAACGAGCTGAGATTAGGAGCACACTCTTAAAGGGAGTGCTCCTAATCTCAGCTTGTTACCTGTATAAAAGACACCTGTCCACAGAAGCAATCAATCAATCAGATTCCAAACTCTCCACCATTGCCAAGACCAAAGAGCTCTCCAAGGATATTAGGGACAAGATTGTAGACCTACACAAGGCTGGAATGGGCTACAAGACCATCGCCAAGCAGCTTGGTGAGAAGGTGACAACAGTTGGTGCGATTATTCGCAAATGGAAGAAACACTAAAGAACTGTCAATCTCCCTCGGCCTGGGGCTCCATGCAAGATCTCACCTCGTGGAGTTGCAAGGATCATGAGAACGGTGAGGAATCAGCCCAGAACTACACAGGAGGATCTTGTCAATGATCTCAAGGCAGCTGGGACCATAGTCACTAAGAAAACAATTGGTAACACACTACGCCGTGAAGGACTGAAATCCTGCAGCACCCGCAAGGTCCCCCTGCTCAAGAAAGCACATATACAGGGCCGTCTGAAGTTTGCCAATGAACATCTGAATGATTCAGAGGAGAACTGGGTGAAAGTGTTGTGGTCAGATGAGACCAAAATCGAGCTCTTTGGCATCAACTCAACTCGCCATGTTTGGAGGAGGAGGAATGCTGCCTATGACCCCAATAACACCATCCCCACCATCAAACATGGAGGTGGAAAAATTATGCTTTGGGGGTGTTTTTCTGCTAAGGGGACAGGACAACTTCACCGCATCAAAGGGACAATGGACCGTCAAATCCTGGGTGAGAACCTCCTTCCCTCAGCCAGGGCATTGAAAACGGGTCGTGGATGGGTATTCCAGCATGACAATGACCCAAAACACACGGCCAAGGCAAACAAAGGAGTGGCTCAAGAAGAAGCACATTAAGGTCCTGGAGTGGCCTAGCCAGTCTCCAGACCTTAATCCCATAGAAAATCTGTGGAGGGAGCTGAAGGTTTGAGTTGCCAAACGTCAGGCTCGAAACCTTAATGACTTGGAGAAGATCTGCAAAGAGGAGTGGAACAAAATCCCTCCTGAGATGTGTGCAAACCTGGTGGCCAACTACAAGAAACGTCTGACCTCTGTGATTGCCAACAAGCGTTTTGCCACCAAGTACTAAGTCATGTTTTGCAGAGGGGTCAAATACTTATTTCCCTCATTAAAATGCAAATCAATTTATAACATTTTTGACATGCGTTTTTCTGGTTTTTTTGTTGTTATTCTGTCTCTCACTGTTCAAATAAACCTTCCATTAAAATTATAGACTGATCATGTCTTTGTCAGTGGGCAAACTTACAAAATCAGCAGGGGATCAAATACTTTTTTCCCTCACTGTATGTTAAATATGTTTTATTTATATATATGTTATCTATATATTAAAGTAAATAAATTGCATTCTTAATGTAAAACCTACTCATATTTCAGAGCACACAGTAATGTTTCAAAAGACACCAAGACTGCCCTAGTAGCATCTACAGACTAATCGTTGTAGTGTCCTAAAGGAGACCTGGGTAAGGCCAAAGTCTCACAGATGTGCCAACTTTATTTAAATATTTCTTAATTCCCCAAAACAACCTTTCTATGGACTTCATTTGAGGAAGATTAAAAACATCATGACTATCTTTAGGCCAAACTGGTGTGGAATTGCCCTATATGTAACTTCATTGAGCAACACAATCAATCTAGGACGATACTTTAGGATGATTTGGACATGAAGCCTTTTTGACGATTTGAGTTTTGTGCTATAAGTTGAGAAAATTGACCACATATTTGTAAAAAAATTGCACCAAAAGCATTGATTAAACTGTAATATGACTGCAGAATCATTCTTAAGTAGTAGTGCTAAAGTATAGTTGAAATGCCATGTCGATTCATATAGGACTGTCAAGTGTAAAAGAAGATAACAAAAGTCATTCAATACCTCCTGAGGAGGTGGGTGTTCCACAGAGTAACACAACTCCTTGTCCTTCTCGAACTGACACCGCACTTCTTGTGTGGAGTTTAAAATGATCCAAGTCTAGAAGAGAAACGGGTCAATTTATGACGTCTTAGAATATAAATACAGCACACTGATGACACTCATTTCCCCCTATGAACCACCTGCATGTAAAGCATTATAATGCATTTATAAGGTATGGTGTGTTATTATCAATGGTGACAATGTAATAATGCAATATAATGCAGTGTCACAGGAGGCAGTATTATGGCCTGTTCTTAACTTACAGGCAAACTGTAGGCTTGCTCTTCTGCTGAGAATGGCTCCTATTGTGTTATAGGCCGTACACTGGTACCTTCCCCCATCCTGGTAGCGGTCCAGACTTCTTATGATGAGGTTGCCCCCAGACAACCGACGCCGGTGGTCCAACTCCAGATTTATGAGAGTTCCATTCAGTGACCATCTGTGAGGGCAGAAATACCATCAGCTGCTGGCAATATTCACAGCACATCTCCATCTATTGACCACAGTGGATTTATGGGATCAAATTGAAAACTAAAACTCAATAAAGGCAGCAACCGTTATTTGGATGGTACTTAAAGTTCATTGATATTTTGAGGTCAATGATAAAAAATAACATATACAGGTAGGTACGGTTTATGGTTGTTTGTTGCTTTTGTTGTTTTGTCATTTCAAATGAAGGGACATACTGTGCATGAGTCTTTACTATGTCAATAGTTGAAGTACATATCAATATCCATAACCATTCATAACAATTTGTAAATCTTCAAGCTAAGATAAATAAGAAGAATGTCTGTTGAGATAAGTCCATGTCCCAGGCCATCTACTTTGTAGATCCAGCTATATCCTACAATCTAAAATGAATGAAAATACTAAGAACCATATCATTACCAGATTTGTGTTATCCTTTCCATTCATTTGGAGACATATTGTATACTGTAGCTGGACCTACACAACGGATGGCATGGGACTTGGACTCATCTTGACAGACTTCTTTTGGAGTTTGAAGACATCCAACAAACTTAAATGATGTGTTATGTCCTTTTAATTATATGTAAATGCATTCATAATATTTAGTGTTATTTCAGTTTTACGGTTGATATGGATATCCCATCCACTTAAGACAAACTCTCAAATACATTGTTTCCACTCTCCACAGAGGCCTATGGGTCAAAAATACACATACTATAGTCACAAACAGTAACACCTTGTTCTTTCTCGATTGGTATAATATGCTCAGTTCTTCTCTCTTTGAATAAGAATATTAGCACCCTCAAAACCCACAGCAGGTGCAAACTCACACTACCCACACAGCAATGCTTTCACACATTCCTTTCATTGCACCCTTTCTGCACTCTCATAGAAAAGAGGAGAATAATAAAAGCTGGTACAGCACACCAACAAGTCCAAGGAAAATGTCAACGTAATTCATTTCCTAAATCTCGCAAATCTCAGTTTTGGAAAATACTGACTTTATGACCAAAGTTATCCTACTTATACTTTTTATTCAATTTTGGGACTACAATGGATGTTTATGACTACTGCCGACGCCACAGGCCGTTTTTAACCAGAGAAGTAGTTTTTTTGGTTCAGCCGCCCTTTAAACATAAATATGTCATAGTATTTGAGAGGTAAAGCACCTTGAAACTCAGTCCATCAATCCCGCTACTCTATCATGGCAATTAATTGATAGGATTTGATGACCTGGGGCTCTTGACAAACAGAGGAAGGCAGAGGCTCTTATTAGATCACAGACGGTGACTCGTGGCATATATATATATATACTTGTGTTATTATTTTTCAAAAAATATTATCTTTGCATTGTTGGGAAGGGCCTGTAAGTAAGCATTTCCCTGTTAGTCTACACCTGTCATTTACGAAGCATGTGACAAATAAAATGTGATTTGAATTATGTAGTTCAGTTTCTCTTTATCTCATATAATAAACACTGTTTACATGTTCACTGATTATATGAGTCCAAATATGCAGCACAAGACCAATGTCTTTTTGTGTTTTACCTCAGAAACCCTGTTTCCAGCTTTGGGGGTATGAGAGCATGAGTGGCAGGAGTGAGAGAGAGAGAGAGAGCAAGAGAGAGTGTGAGAGAGAGAGCGAGAGAGAAGATAAAATGGAGGGAGCAGTGTATTCCATTTACACTTCAAGAGAGGAGCTGAGGAGGTGTTGAGGGCATGTGGTGCAGAGCACAGCAAGAGATGCAACGCTAAACACGCTCGTCTCGCCTTTAATCAGCAAATGGAAATACCTCATCTTAGCTGGGGGGATACCAACCACATGCGATTATGAACGTAGCGTGAGCTCAATACCACTTTTATTCTTCTCATTTACACTGGCTGTGCTGGAGTACTGTGGGCTACACAGCAAAGACAGTTGACAGTCAATGCTTGTTTGTTTTTGTTTGCGCAACTGGTTTGGAGCATCTGCGTTGTCTGCAGCTGGGTTTCACCCATTGTTTCATCCCTCCATAAAACAGCAACAAGCTATTAATGTGAAAAGCATGAGCAGTGGAGAAGCGCCACATAAACCTGACCCATTAAAGTCCCTGATCGGCCAGACAGTCAAAACACCTCATTTCACAGGTGTAAATTAGTTGCTGATTGAGAAGCAAAGATGAAAACCAGTAGACCCCGCGGCACTGGTGTAAAACGTAGTAATAGCCGTAGTCGTAGTCATATAGAAATTCAAGCCAGGTGAGTGAGTCTGAATCCTACCTGTATTGAGGAGGGGGGATTCCTTTAGCGTCACACGTAAGAGTGGCCTCCTCTTCTATAGAATCAACAGGGATAAACAAGTCACCGGGTTCCATCCTCCATCTTGGACCATGGAATGATCCACTGTCCAAACATTCTGGGGAAGACATAGTCGTCAATGTAGCAGAATGTTTAACTCATATATTCTGGTTGTGACATGATTTCCAGCTTTTTCGGATGTCACACTCGAATCGTAAATGTTTCCTACAAAAGAATCATTACACATCAAATATATTATTTTTCTACCTGCGAGACAGTCGATGATTGATAGCAGAAGAAGCTGTTTCCATGGTAACGTCATATTTGGCAGCGAAGGACGAATGAGACTTTCATTCAATAAGCTCTAAACAACACTCTTTTCTCCGGAACAGACAGTCCTGACCTGTAAGAGACAGTCATTACAGCAAAAACACCAAACTCAGCAGACATGTCACCTCATGAAAACGTCAAATATACTGTATCTATTTTCGTGCTTAGCCATCATTTGGACAGGCAGGCGAGACGGATATGGAATTTACATTGGCACCATAGAAATATTGAGTGATGGAATGTTGGAAGTGAATGTGGGAACCTTCCATTTCTCTTAACCCACGGCTTTTTCAATCTCCAGTTTCAACATTCCCATTGAGCAACAGCATTAATTAATCCTGTGTATTCTGATTTAGAGACAAACAATACGAGCGAGCAAGAGAGCACTCAGAGGCATATGGGACAAGACAGACACCAATCTATTAGGAGACCAACTGTTGACCCAGCTCCACAGAGAAATATCTATCCTCTCAGGCCCAAGGAGCCTGGACCTGTGAATTGGGTGCCATCCAATCAATTAGTCTCACCGACACCAGCATGTCTTGCCACATGTTGAGGGAATCTAGAGAGCTTGATGAGAAATCCATTCCCTACAGGTACATGATCAAGAGCGAGTGGCTGGACATTGCGTGGTCTGCATTGCAATACTAAGGTTAATTGCAGTAGAGCAGTGATTCCCAAATACAAATAAACTAGACACAAATAAACTGAAGAAGAACGAAACCCACACAAATGTGATACCACACAAATGCTCTCTCTCTCTCTCTATCTCACACACAAACACACACACACACACACAGATTCAAACATGTACTCATAAGCCATGATGTACACCTCATTTAAGGTCTAATCCTCGGGCTAGTCTGCTTTAGTGGCATAGTTAAAGGGGCTAATTGTTTGTCGGCTGCTATAATGTCAGATTTGTAAGGTCTCAGGGAGTATTTCCTCCAGTCTTTCATGTTTGCTGGGTCCTTTCTCCTGCTAGAAGTCTCCTAAATTGGATTGTCCACGCCTTCTCTCATGAAGAATGCTGAATGCTTTACCTCTCCAGTAGGTCTACAGTACCGCCTTGAAAACTGTATAGGCTTCATTGTGGGCTGACGATTGTTGTGTGATAGGTGTTGTGTAAAATAAGTTATTCGAAACCTGAGCTGCTCAATCAACGGTTTCATCTGTTTGGTCGCCATACATAAAACTCACATCACGTGACACCACATGTGCTGGTGATAAATAGGCCAAACATTGTAGCAGGATGAATGACAGATGATAAGGCGTAGTGTCACTTCCTGTATCACAGCAATTGAAACCCATAAAAGCAGCACATCTCTCTCTCTCTTCTACTCTGCATCTGCAAGTAACCAAATAACACAGCATTTCAACAGCAAGGCAACCCAAACTGAAAGAGGCCACATCTGCATTCATAACAATAATAGACTTCCCACAGACTTACTTAATGGAAGAATATGCATATTACTTGATTATTGTTTTATTTCCCCAAGCATGAAACCAGATAGACTCATTCATTCAGAGCCATATCTTGGCAGGTTAGTCAGAATCTCTCTGAATAGAGAAATGTTCAAGATACTGAACTAATAGGCACCCACTCATCGTTTGTCCCTTGAAAAATGTATCATTGAGCAGCAGCTCATTGGAAACTAAATGGTTCTATCATGGCAATGTAATGAATATTCAATTCACATGCAGCTTTGAGTGCAACCCCCATTAGGCCTATGTACAATTTTACATCTATGTTTGTTACATTTGAAATGGTAAAATTAGATGTGATGTCGATAGATGTTGATAACACCTATGGGTTCTATAGGAAGGACAAAGAGATGTAAAAGATGGGGTAGGAAATATACAAGAACTCAGCCCATTTAACTGACAAACAAGCATTAGGCTGGCTATATGTCAAACAGCTTCAGAAATGAACTGCACAAAACAACAAATGTGTATCAATGGCAAACATTGTGAGTGCTTGCAGTTTCTGCGAGTAGCCTAGGCTATATGTTCCTCAAACCTCAATCAACGTTAATCAAACCAAACACACAAACCATTCTATTTCCAATATGTATTATTATTAGTAGTAGTATTATTATTAGCATGTTATTGTTATATTGAGCTTATAATTTAGAGGAAAAACCTAATGTCAAAGCCTATGGGCATATGGCTTTGGTAGAAAGATGCCTACCAAGAAAACGAATTAGGCTACCAATCAAAGAACAATTTATTGAAAGTAAATCGGTTTTATTGTCACTATGGCCATCATAATGTATATCCAGCCATACATGCATGGCCACACATGCCAAGCTTTATAATTTCCTTACCTAGCGGCCGTTTTCTCCTTATCTTGAAATATATTCAGACCAGCAATGCACTAAATCAATCCTTTTAGCCATAATAAAAAGTTGACCCGCCACGGACGCGTTTTCCACCGATTTATGTCGGAAACACAAGCTCGTTCATACAGGTGAAACCGAAACACTGGTCAGGCAGTGTAAGAAAAAAACAGGCAATGAACGAAGGCACTATATAGGCAGGCGTCTCATAGTCTACGTCGCTTTCTCCTTCCCAAAAACAACACCCACAGTTGCTCATGAATCAAATCGGCAACCTTACGAAAGATGAGTACAAACGCTGCCCTATCTTCGAGCCACATTCATGTCGGCAAATGATGTTAAAAAGAGTCTTGTGCGGAGATCTACGTATTTCTTGTGAAGTAGCTATAGCAGACGATAGAAGCAGAAAATATGGAAATGTATGGCAGACGCACCTGCCGAAGAACTGCGCCAGTCTTCGCCAGAGATCTGAGCTGACAGAAAAACTGGGGACATCACTGCGTAAAAATGATCAGGATATCAAAATGTATCGATAGGATTGTGAAAATTGACATGTTGATAACTGCATGGTCAGCCTGGTCTCTTAGACTAGATAACATAGTAAACGTACATTTGGAACACTCAAATTAGTATGTTAGCCTATGTTTCGTTTGATATGGTTACATAAGACAGAAGGTTACTTCAATCGGTTGGAGTGGGTGGGTGGGCGTATACCGCGAATGTCTAGCAACCCAAAGTTAGAATCTCATCATGGACAACTTTAGCATTTTAGCTAATTAGCAACTTTGCAACTACTTACTACTTTTTAGCTACTTTGCAACTACTTAGCATGTTTGCTAACCCTAACCTTAACCCTTTAACCTAACTCCTAACCATAACCTTAACCATAAAAGCCTAGCTAACGTTAGCCACATAGCTAACATTAGTCACAACCAATTGGAATTCTTAACATACGTTTGCATATTCGTAACATATTGTACGAATTGCAATTCGTAACATATGATACAAATTGTAATTCGCAAAATATCATACAAAAAGAATGATGGACATCCAGAAATTAATATATACCATACGAAACTTAACAAATCACACTAATACAGGACACCTACAGCACACAATGTCACAGGAAGGTCAAAAAGATCATCATGGCCAACAACCACCCTAGCCACTGCCTGTTCACCCCACTATCATCCAGAAGGCGAGGTCAGTACAGGTGCATCAAAGCATGGACTGAAAAACAGCTTCTATCTCAAGGCAAATCAGACTGTTAAATAGCCTTCACTAGCACATTAGAGACTGCTGCCTATATACATAGATTAGAAATCACTGGCCACTTTAATAAATGGAACACTAGTCACTTTAATAATGTTTACATATCTTGCATTACTCATCTCATATGCATATACTGTATTCTATACTATTCTACTGTATCGTAGTATATGCCGCTCTGACATTGCTCATCCATATATTTATTTATATATTCTTAATTCCATTGCTTTACTTAGATTTGTGTGTATTGGGTATATGTTGTGAAATTGTTAGATATTACTTGTTAGATATACTGCACTGTCGGAGCTAGAAACACAAGCATTTCGCTACACCCGCAATAACATCTGCTAAACACGTGTATGTGATCAAAGTTTTAGGAAAATATTGACATTTTAATGCACTTGATAGGCTACAGTAGGCTAATTAAACATGAATAAGCGATCTATCAATTATATTTTACATGGTTTGAGAGTGTCATAATAACTCCCCTTGATCTGTAGGCTACTGCATAACAAACTCGTACCTGATCACTCTGTTATTTCCTAGGCTAAAGGTTAGACAGGTGGGCCAGCGACTGGAAGGTCGCCGGTGTAAATCCCAAATCTGATGGGGAAATCTAGTGGGGAATGAGCTGGTAACTGGAGGATTGCTAAGATGAGTAACCTAAATGCCAGTTCCTGCCGTTTTGCCCTTGAGCAATGCACCTTCTGGTGTACATTGTGTCATAGTGCAGATGGTTCTGAGTTTGTGTCCTGGGTCAGTTATATTTGTATTCTAACATTCCTTTCACACAGAGTAAAGGAATAATAATCAACACTCTACCAACGTGTTAGTGTATGCTACTATTCTGATGGCAAAGTAAGATAGGCTATTACTCTAGTTCAAGTCATATAGAGAGGACATCTCTTCCCCACTGTATAACTGTAGTTCATAATTCATCTTCAGACAAGGCCCATATATTATCAGCCAGTCTGTCTTTAACACGCACATACACACACACACACACACACACACACACACACACACACACACACACATACACACATACCCAGTCAATACCTGGGACAAACCCAGTGAATCAAAATCTCTTTTTTACTACAGTCAGTGCCTGTGTAGTCTACCGGATGCCTATTAAACACACATTGATCATCCTCTCTTCAGCCCAGGATTCTTTAACATGGCCAGGGCATCGTTAATAATGCTCCATACAGCCACCATTTGACATTTCCTTTAATTATCTCCGTAATGTATTCATGCGCTTGATCCTAGGAGCTTGTTGTGAAAAGCCGCCTCTAGGAATATTTGTATCCCGCCTCGAGGCCCCACGGATTAGCGCGAACCCTGAAGGTATTACCTCCGTCTGTATGTGTGTGTGTGTTAAGCT